TACTTTCAAATTATAATTCGCATGAATTATATATCCACTGAGAAACCATGGTTGGCATCAAACTTTATATTTTTAAATAACTATGCGCACACCGAAACAACTCGCGGCGATGGCAAAACTGAAACTGAGACAAACAAGTCTGGGCATGTCATAGCAAACACTTTTCTTTCTCTACCTAGCGCAGTGATCGACATGCCATAGCTGACCACACGCGTGTTTCACCCATATACGAATCGCGGTAACGGAGCAACGATTTCCACGCACACAGTCTCATTCACTGAATCGTTTTTATGCAATGGTCGGCATACTAGCGCATTCAAACTATTCAATAAGTGGGACTGTGTACATTGCTTAGCTGGCGCTCTTCGGATGTGAAACAAACATGTGCTCAGAGAGCGCTGAGCATTATTTAGGGGTGGCTCACAAGCATGAATATGTTCCGCTCTCAAACCAAATCGTGGTTGCCTCAACTAAGATTTGCACCCCTATGCTGTAATCCGTCGTAGATTCGATTTTGCTACGAATCTTAAAATTGGTATGCTGTAATCCGCGTTGCCGTATCGTAATTTCGAAATTCGGAGACCATCTTCGAAATTCGTAATGTTGGTATGCCTGAATCCGACGTAGCTGTAATTTGTATGTATTTGTCGGAAATTTTCTACGAAGAGCAACTGGTGTCGGAGCGAAGCGAATTCTTTTAAAATATCAATAAAATAAAGTGTGGAAACGCAAAAATATGTATGTAAGTTGAAGTGTGAATAAAAAACAATGTATTATTAAATGTTTACAAAATTATCAAGTCGACAATCAGAACAAATCGCTCGCAATACGAAAAACTGGTGGAATGCATGACCGAAAGACCGGACATTGCCCGAGGCTTTGTAATAGTTAAAGAGGATGTGGTGGAATTTTGGGAAAGCGTTGCAAGATTTAAAGCAACACAATATTTAGTTGAATGGACGCCCTTAAAAAGAGGGAGCATATATTTATCATTTAAGCTAAATGGATCAGAACTGTCTTGTAGCAATCTCCTTTGTATATTAATGCAACAGTTGACTGCAGCATGTTCTTCCTCCTGAGACAAAAGTGCACCGGCCACTGAATCCATTCTATTTTACTTAATTAAGGAAAAGCTTTTTCAAATACGATTAAACATTTTTTTTTTTAATTTCACTGTTCACTTGCGATTATATTTATTTTGATTTGTTTCTGTCAAAGCAGCTGATTAAGAACTTCGAATTTCACTATTTTAGTTGGCAACGCCGTTGATAGTTACAATCGGATTACAGCACACCAATTTTCGAATTTTCGGAACGGAGCTACGAATTCGTAACTACGAACTTTCGGATTACAGCATAGGGGTGTTGGTAACTATGACTAAACCATGTGTTGAAAGAAAGCTTATCTGTATTAGCAGAGCTTAATGACATCCTTTTATGAGCCACACGTTAAGTTGAATGGAATTTGTAGAAATATCCCAACACGCAAAATAAACTTAAAGAAAGTTTTTTTTAAGTTTTCAATTATAAACATTAAGCTTACAAAACGTTGATTTTTTGTTTATAAAACGCTTGAAAGTAAGCGTAATATAATCGAAAAGGAACATTGGTTATAAGCGTAGAAATATAAACTTGTAATAAATGTTCAAAAGAAAGCTTTTTATAAGCGTAAAAGTGTAAACTTATAATAAAGGTTCAAAAAAATATAAACTTACTAAAAATTTTCAAAAGAAAGCTTTTTATAAACATTTTTATAACCCTTTATTTAAAGATATTTCATTAAAAACTCATACATAGATTGCTTAACATCTAGAAACTAAACGAAATGCGAATTTTCGGCGGACTCATCTACAGTCGCGAAAATATAAATAGGGAATAGACATTTTAGCATACAAATTCACAATAACACATACAAATTAAGCATAAAAAAGTTAATTATTACATCTTGTTGCGTGCTTTCAATTACTTGCGGTTATTGGCAAATTGAAAAAGCGACATCGAGATGCAGCTATATATTCCGCTTCATCGCCGCCATTCTCATTGATGAACTTTTCTGAAAAAAATTTAATACATTTTTAATTGAATGTTAAACTAAGAAAGGATAAGGGGAACTCATCATTTGAAGACTCGAATGCTCCACCGATTAGCGCAGCGGCTCCTGGATTGGATTTTCTTGTTTTACCGCATTGGTTTTATTTAATTTTTTCTTTTAATAATATATTTTAAAAAACGTAAACACGTCACTTACGATTGAAAAAATTTTATATTTACTACTTCATGTCGTTGGCATTTACATTTTATTTATAAGTTTAAGTTATTTATAAACATTCGCTCTCAAAACTTATTAAAGGTTTATTTGAAAAAACTTTTAATAAGCTTAATATTAAAAATGCTTATTTAACGCTTATTATAGCAAACTTAATTTAAGTTATTTTTAAAAACGTTTACTGAAATGCTTGTTGGGTATGCTTCAAAAAATTATTTATTAGTATTTACCAAACCCTTCAACTAAATTAACGATTTGGTACAACATAGATGAATATTAGAAGCTTTAATATATTTAGTTATAATTACCAACCCATGGTAATAGTTCCCAATCCTTGGTCACAGTTCCCAAATATTGTCAAAATTCGGGAACTAAATATCTTTAGTTGTCGAAACTAATCCTTTTTCTCAGTGTTGGTTTTCTCATCGCTCGAGCAATATAGCCTTATGATTAGCTTTATCAATGGTGATCACAAACCGATATATGATACATTTCAGATTAGCAGATAAGTTACGGTAGCAGGCCCTGGTCGAATAAATTAAAATTTGTCAAACTTTAAGTTGTGATGGGTGTGCCATGTGACGGGCGTGACCAACAATCGATTTTTTTAATATAAATACTTAAATTCAACAATTTCTATTGAGCTTGAGGCCGTTTTTAATGAAAAACTTATTGTGGAAAAGCAACAATAATATGAAAAAATGGTAGAAGTGATAGCTATTTCGGAAATAACCACATTTCCTCGTCAGACTTCTTTCAGTAGGATTCGAACCGACGATCCCACTGACTCAGCCAGTTGCCTACGCACTGTGCTAAGTTCGGCTTGTGAATTCTTGTTGCTTTTTCCTTTATTTCATTTGTTAAGCCAACTACAATCAAGCGCAGCTATTCCAGTGCTATTTCAACTTGATCATGTGGTTGTTGGTTTTGTTAGTTTTTGTTAATAATTCTATCATTAGAATGTTTAACTTTTAGGTGTGCTCGTCCTTAAGTTATTTGTTTTGGTTATTTTATGACCTTATTACAATTATATTCAACAATTTTTATTGAGCTTGAGGCCGTTTTTAATGCAAAACTTATTGAGGCAAAGCAACAGTAATTTAAAAAAATGGTAGAAGTGATAGCTACCACATTCCTCATCAGACTTCTTTCAGTAGGATTCGAACCGACGATCTCACTGACTCAGCCAGTTGCCTTACTTAAAAGCAATTCGCACATATTCGCCTGTGTCATAGCGTTACATAGCTTTTTTACACTGTGCAAGATGTGTTTTCTTAAAAAAAAAAAACTATTGTTTGCACTTTGTGACGGGCGTGACATTAAAATATGCTTTGCTTCAATATATAATAAAATAATCAGTACTTGCCCGAAAATATTGAAAATTACACTGTTACAATGCAAAAAAGACAATAGACTACGAAAATCAGTCTTGTCAATTTTGAAGAAAATTAACCTCTCATATGAGTTTGTAAACGATACAACCTAAAGTAAAAAAATATCTGATTTTGGGATAAATTTCGAAATTGTAGTTTTCAGCCTTGGAAGTTAGATTTATTTACTATAATTTATTTGAAATAATAAACACGAATTCTTAAGTTTATTTTCGTTTCATTCGGTGTCGATTACCGGGGAATGAGCCTAATGTATTTCCGTTTTATTAATAAAATGCTTTTTTGTGTTTGTAGCAATGCCGCCGTCTATGAATCGGATAAGCTTTAGCAGTGTAGCTCATCAGTTGCCGGCAACATCTGTACCGCCATCGACTACGTCTGATCACCAACAAATATCTCACTCAACCATGGCGGCAGCTGGCTCCACTCCTGTCGGCGTTTATAATCCTGGGCCTCAACTCACCCAAGTGGGTCATATTCAACTAAGACAGTCTTTGCCGCCCATTTCTCAATTTGGTCACTTGCTACCTAATGGACCGGCAAATCAAATAAGTGATGCCAACAACGGTAAGTTTTTCTTATAAATAGGTGCAAGTTTTAAAAACATCACGATGTGTAGTTTTACCACCAGATCAACTGCAGCAGCAGCAACTTCCTCATCATCCCCGCCCACAACAATTTGGTCTCCTACCAAATGCAACGCAACAGCCACCACAAAATGCGTTTATGACACCGCTACCGACAGTTGGAATGGCACCACGCTTGCTGCCACTCAATCATGGCATGCATAACCCGGCAAATGGTGGCGATCAATATAGTCAATTACAAAATCAAATGGCAGCAATATCTCTCACAGGTGGAGCTAATCAGCCGGTAACACAAAATTTCCTTGTACAAAATGATCCAAAATATAACATTCCAATTTACCAGCAGCAACGGTAAGACGATGGCTGGTGTCGAATATACTTCATAGCTAATTTTCTACTCTAATATTTTTGTTAAAAACTTTATGTCTACATTCATACATACACTTGTGATCAGTTAATTAAGCCAGCAGCGTTTTAATTAATTTTGAATATTTTTCATTTGTTTATTTAATGTTTATTATTTTTTTCATAAAAGCCTAGCTCATTACTTTGTGCAACAATTATAAAACAATTATAAAACAAAAAAATTTCATCTAAATTTTCAACTTTTTCATCAGAATTCTGAGATTATGCAAAAGAAATACAGCAAAAATATATCGAAATATAGCTGGCTTTATTAGCCGTTCACAAGTGTATTTACACTGGCGGCAAAAACTGATTAAATGGTGTTTTGTTTTTTCAAGCTAAACTCAAAAATATGGTTCATGCTTATTCAGAAAAATTCAAAAAATTTTCATAAAAAATTTGGTCTTTTTAATAAGAACTTTATAAAATTTTTGCGTATGCAGTTACAATAAGAAATCTAAGTAAAATAAGGCAAGTTTTAAGTGGCTACAAAATCGTACATTGCTACAAATTTGCTCTTTTTCCATATAAACATTAATTTCTTGTGGAAGAAAATGCGCGAAAAGGATAAAAAAAATAAAGCCACTTATTATAAATTGCTCTTTTTATATAAAAAAAACCCGCAATATTAAAAATCTTTGCGATTTTTAGCAGCTTAAAACTCACAAAATTGTTATAAATTCTGATTAAACAGCTCAAAATTTTGATGAAAATTATTTGAATTTTTCTAAATTCTGTACAAAGTTTGAAAGTTTGATTTATATGGTTTTGGTTAAAGTATGACTATTTTTATAAAAAAAACATAACAAAAAAGTTTATCCAATTTTGACCGCCAAAGTATATTTTAACAACAAGACAAATATCTACAGCTATTCGGCATAATAAAACAGTTGCGCGAAGTTTAGTATTGCATTGCCTTGGTTAATTGTGGGTAGTTAACGCTCTGTTTTTCGCGAAAATGTATTTTTACTTCCTACATTCTTGCGTATTTTTATTAGTTGCGAGGAGCGAATAATGTAAGGTATTTTATTTGCCAATATTACTATTAAGTTGTTTTAAATTATGGACGAATGTATTGTTTGGTTACTTGAGCGGTGACAGGTAATAAGGTCAATGGAAATAAGGTCAATTGACTTTATTTCCCACCCTGGTGCGAAATAAAGTCAATTGACATTATTACCTTTTCAAAAGCGAAATAAAGTCAACAAAATTTCGAAATAAAGTCATTGACGCTATTTCCTCATTCAAATGGAAATAGCGTCAACAATGCTTAACGTATGTCGATTCATAGAAAAAAATGTTGTTCTTACAATAAACATTGCCCCGTAAGTGTTGTTTTTTAATAGATGAAAAAGGTTGTAGCCAAATCCTCAGTGTTGTGATATTAATCCACATACAATCTTGAAATCCCACCAATTGATTTCATTAAAAAAATTTAAATTACGAATATGTAAAAACGCACAGCTGGAATACGAGAAATATTTGAAGAAAGAGTGTAGAAATGATCCATAACTTGCAAAACATGTTTCGTTTCCACAAAAATAAAGCGAACACTATTAAATTGAAGAAACAGTCCATATCCAAAAACCCCGGAGGAACCCTGAAAGAATTCTGTGTTTTAAATTAGCATATTTTGAACAAACTCGGAATGTCTAAGGTGGAAAAGAAACCAACCTTTCTATAAGGAAACAATGTCTCCGCCAGCAATTTGTGACGACATCATTTAAAAGCAGCTAAGGAGAATGACGACACTATTTATTAGATGGCACATTCAACGAGCCAATGTACCAAAATGCGGGTATAAACAATTATTGATTATTTAATATCGGAACCGAGATCATATAAGTTAATTAATTGGTTTTCTCACACTTTTGAAACACAAATTATATGCTTTTTTACTGCA